GTCCTATGTCTGTTACTTTCTCTCCTGTATGTCTGTTACTTTCTCTCCTGTATGTCTGTTACTTTCTCTCCTGTATGTCTGTTACTTTCTCTTGTGCAGGACAACGAGGAGGGAGGTGACCAAGCGGGCAAGTCTGCGTCAGCCCGTACAACAAGGAACTGGGGTTCAGAGGTCAATGCCAGATCCGTCTATGCTGTGAGTCCAAGGACGTCCTGATCTCTCGTGTCACAAAACTCTTGTCTGTCTTTTAGTGGGAGAACTAGCAAGGGAAAGGAAGTAGTGTGTGCGTCATGTGTCATCGTCATAACTTGACACGTTTGTTGCTGTTGTCTTTCTTTGTCACTTGTCTTTCTCCCCGCGTCACCCAAAAGGGTATAAGCGGCCAATAAAAGTGAAGAAAGTAAGTCTTTCTTTGTCGTAAAATATATTACTTTCCATCTTTCTTTGCTTTACTTTTAATGTTGTGATGTCTTCTTACGGCTACTGCAAATGTGTGGAAGGTGAACTGATGAATTGAATAGCTCTTTTGGTATGTTTCGTCCCTTCATTTCTAGATTATGCTTATTTCCATTTTGTGATTATTCGCTCTGGGAATATTTACACCCTCCAACCTTCGACTTTCATAGGTCGTCCGTATTAGTACTATTCTGTTACAGTTCGTAAACTTGGATTTTGTTATAAAGTTGTACTATAAATTTAATTTTAGTTTGAACAGCCTTCTTTTCAAACTTTAATTTGAATTACTGCTATAACAAAAGCTCATTGAGTCATAATTTTATGTTTCACCTCGGAGTCCCACCATTCTTGTGTTGTGTATTCTGTTTTCTCACAAATTCATGAAATCTATACGTGCCAAGTTTGCATAGATATAATGTAAGGCAAAAATAATAATGGACTTCCAACTTGCTCTTTGGCTGTCTGCCTCTCTAGGACTGGTTACTGCCTCCTGGTCCATTGGTCTACTCACGTCTTTTTTAGTGATCCGAAAGGAATTTTTGTCTCATATGATGCTGCGTAAACTGCTTTCCACAACTTTTCTGTTCGTATGAATTTTCTGTATTGCTCTTGATTAGGTGACAGTTCAAATGGAAATGGTGTTGGGTGGTTGTTGTTGTTGTTGTTTTTCTTATGTCTTTTCTCCCCCTTCTAGACAAGCTAGCTTGTCAGTTGTTTTTTATTTTCGCTAGAATTGCCGTGTGAGTCGTCTGTGTTACTGCCCCGAGAAGCGCTCCCTTTGGATGTCAAGTTCTGTCATTTGTACATTTTTCTTTCACTTAACCATACAGACAAGCAAGCTTGTCAACCATCTTTTATTTTCACTTGAATTAACCTATGAGTTCTGTGTTTTATGTCCCCAGGAAGCGTTCCCTTCAGACGCTGAGTTCTGTGATCTGATGACTTTCTTCCAGTCGTACGGGTCTGTGGAGAACTTGGTCATGAGATATCACTATAACACCACTGACTTCCAGGGTTCTGTCTTCGTCACCTTCTGCTCAAGGGAAGATGCCGAGAAATTTGTGAAGGAAGAGGATACTAAGTATCAGGAGGCGCCATTAGAGAAAAAATATTTCAAGTGAGTAGCCATGCTGGGTCTTTTGAGGTATTTTTATAGTTCTATATTTATATATATATATATTTATATCGATATTTTGGGGGGTTGGGATGTGTAAAATTTGTTATTTAAAAAAATATTTTGAGTTGTCATTTTATGCCGTATCAACACAATAAACTTTTGTAGTAAACAAAACATTCCTATGGGGTTATGTGTGATAAGGTAAAATATTGTTTGTCATTCCATTCAGCTCGCTAGTTACAAGTTGGAAAATGTGCTGCAAATCTGGATCGACCTTTTCAGATTTCTACAAAATTAGAAATACCAATGTCTTTGTAATTTAGTTTGGTATTGTTCAACAATAAATATATGCAAACAATAATTGAGATTGGAAAATTTAATCAGACTTTATTTAAGACAAAGTGTTTTATCTCACCTTTTTGTGACTGAACCTGATTTTGTTAGAGGAAGGTTTTCTGTTGACACGGAGGCTCTACACGTTGTCATGGGAATGTTATGTTTGTGGTCTGTGTGCAGGGAAGACTACTTCAGGAAGAATAAAAAGAAACGATTGAAGAAGAAGCAGAAGCAAAAGAAGAAGGCGGCCCAGGCTTCCAAAAAGTACGTATTGAATTGTTTGCTCTTTGAAGTTTATTAGTAAAGTTTTTGTTTAATTTCAGGGTATTACCTCTGCTTGTTAAGTTCAGCAACGCTTGCTGTTGAGTAGCAATTTGTGCTATACACGTGTTATTGTTATTGATATTATTGATAAAGTTGAAGAAAGGACCCTTAAGAAAGTTATATATAGTATTATTATTATATTATGGATAATTCAAGAGTTACTTCATACAGTTGATGTGGACCTCATTTGTCACACCCTACAATCCTTCTTTTTGGCAAAGAAAGGCTCCTTATGCAGTTGCGAGCGCCGTAAAACCTCTACTCAAACAAACAAACAAGAAAGGCTCATGTTTTTCTGCACCTTGGGAGGGAGGGAAATTCAATCTGCTTGCATAAGTGGAATGTTTTGTTCTGAAGTTGTCCATTTGAACTGTTCAGATATTGACAGATACGTATAACGCCAAGTTTGATGTATTTATTTTTAAAAAATCTTTTCCAGCTTGGAACAGGAGAAGGAAGAGGTAAGGCTGTGTGTGTGTCGCTGTTGATTTTCTTCACCAACACCTGTACCATCAGGTCACTGGGTTAGGATTTCATTGGGACCGTTTGGTCAAAGTCTAAATATTGAAAGTACAGCTGGAACAACATAGGGGGAACTGCTGCTTTTTCTTTCCCCATCCTTACTATCGTCATTTTCCTCTACTTCTTTTGTATGTTTGTCACACTCTTGTGACCTGCTGTTTCCGGGGTACCTTGATAGTGGAAGCAGACTTTGTGCTGTTGAGGCTAGAGAGGTGAGCAGAGTAAGTCTGATTCCCTGTAAGGACTTCTCTGTTGACATCCACCCCTTGGCGCTCGTATGACCTTATGCAGTTGTGAGTGCCATAAAAGCTTACTAAAACTAAAAAATTAAAAGTACAGCCGGAATTGTCGGAGTTGTCCACCCATTGTGG